AAAAAAAAAAAAAAACCCTTTTTTAGGAACCCATTTGTAACTGCGAAAATTACAGACATATATAAAATTATTATGAACTTCCACATTTAAATCAGATGTTTATGTTTTTTTTTTTTTTTGTAATTATGTTTTCACGTGCATGCGTTGCATGGGATGCTGATGAGTAGTTGTTGAAGCTGCATCATTTGCACGGCGGCGTTTTGGATTTGTTGTAGCTTTTGTTGTTGCTCGGCTTGTTGAATACTGCACAATCGAGCTGCGTTGACGACGGCAATGGGGGAGTCGCCGCCTCCCGACACTGGTAGGATGGGGAGATTCTCGCAGTTGCAGATTTCGATCATTAGGCCATCGGGGTCGTGGAAGAAAAGCTGGTTGACGAAGATCCCGTCGTCTTCCACCTCGCACTTTACGTACTCTATTTTCATCTTCTTTAGTTGCTTCTCTGTCGTTGCCATGTCTTCGCTCTGTCGTTTATGATAAAAACATCATAAGAACTTCTATTTTTTTCATTCTAAAAAATATTTATGAATTTTCAAAAGTTTAGTTTTATTTAACAGATCTTTTTAAACATCATAAGAACTTCTCGGTCGTTACCCATCATAAATCTTTTTAAACTTTTTGATATTACTTTTATTTAACAGATCTAGTCCATATATTACGAAGTTTTTAGAAACTTTCATCGAAATAATAACGATTTTATCATAAGGATAAAACGTTCCAACCCAATTGAGTTTTAACCCGTCCCTTTAAAAAAAAATAAAATAAAAGAGAGAGAGACCTGAAACGAAAGATGATTGTCTTTAGGGTTGATGACTCGTTTCTTCGGCATGGTATCAGAGTCATTATCGGACTGAAGAAGATGTATACCCATACCATAGTTGAACAACCTATTCAATCGTCAAAAAAATCCAAAAAGTTTCGATTTTTAAATGAAAAGCAAAGATAAAAATAATATAGGATTAGGGTTTTTTAAGATAGAGAATAAATATATACCAGGCGCCATGGAAGGTGAAGGAGGCAGGTCTTTGAACAGGATGAAACCCAAGAACTTTGTGATAAAATTCCAGAGATTTCTCCACTGAATTGCACACTATTGATATGTGATTCACAGACTTGAGACGAAGAGGGTTCTTCATCTTATCCAAACAGATTCAAAATTAATGAATTATGAATGTTTTGGATTGAAATTTGAGTTGCTTAGAGGGTTTATATATTGGATTGGATTGGATTGGATTGGATTGGATTGGAGTTGGAGACAACCTTTGATTCATTCCTTTTTAATTGTTTGATTATTTTAAGGTTTTTTGTCTGCTTGGATTCCTCAGTCAACTGACGAGCTGGAACATAAGGTTTGACTTTCTCAAAAGTGGCACAAATTTATTAAGTCAATTTGAATAATTAAATGGGAACAAACTTTGAATTTCTTTCCCTAATTAAGATCTAGTCTCTCTATTTCTAGAGACTTTCTCCCTTTCAAAAATGAGTCATGTGTGACGTTTGCGCATAAGTTCTTTCTTTTCAGGGTTCGAATCAAAATTCGTTCAAATTTTGACTCTTTTCGAGTTTTAAAGAGTTAGAAACTCAAAATTCGTCATTTATGGAGTTCGTCTTGACATTTGAACCAAATTTTGACCTGTTAGAGGTTTGGAGAGCCATAAACCCTAAAGTCCGTTCGTTCTAGAATATGCCTCGATGTTTATGTCAAAGTTCACCCAAAATTAGACATGTTGGAACTTTGGAGAGCTAAAGAGTCAACGTTCGTTACCTTGTGAACTCTTCTCTACGTTTAGAGAGAAATTTGTCCAAACTCGGGCTCGAGAGAGTGTGAGAGAGCTAAAAACCACAAGATTTTTTCCCCCACAAAGCATTTCTTAACGGTTGGGTTGGAGTTTGGCCAAACATCCATCTATTAGAACCTTTGAGAACTAGAAACTCAAAATTCATCGCTCGAAGACTTTATCTCAACGTTTTTTTTTTTAAACCAAAATTCATCCAAAATTTGATCGGCTAAAAAAAATTAGAAGGTTAGAAATTCAAAGTTCATCCTCTTATATATATATATATCCAAAGTTCATCCTTAATTATATATATATATATCCAAAGTTCATCCTTAATTTTATTTTACCCTTACTAATGTATGAATATGTATATTAGACCGTCACTAAAGTTGATATTTTTTTTTTATGATTAAATAAATTATCATTTTAAAAATTAATGTTTTGATCTCACATTTTTACGATTATTAAACTAAAATAATAATAATAATAATAATAAAAACAATTTAATATAAACAAAAACATTGTTTATGCGACTTTGCCTCGAGTCAAACTATGTTACCACCTTTGCCCGGCACTATATATATGTGTGTATATATATATATATATATAATTTCACATCCCCGTTATTATTCATGGCACGGTATTTAAAGTATTTGTTTATTATTATTATTAACAATTATAAAAATGGGAATTTTAAATATTTATCTAGAAATATACACCATGGAAAGATAATTTAATTATAATGTATTTTAGTGTATGTATGTTCAAAATAACTTATATTATTAGTGTTTAATGCAATTTATTTATATTAAAAATGTGCCGCCATTCATTGCACCATAAGAATTTGACTTTCACAATTAATTCAAATGTCGTGAATTGATTAATTAGCAGCTGTTTTGGTTTTTCACAAATATTAAAAAATATCATATTTTATTTAAAAGAATTTATTGAACGGTGTTTGAATATATTGGAATTTTATTCAACAATGCAACTTAATTGTAGAATAAATATTACTTTATTTATTTATTTGTAACTTTTTTTTATTGAATTTAAAGTCAATGCTATTATACTTTAAGTTTAGGAAATAATTATTTTCGTCCATGTGCGTAAGTCGCTCTACATTTGAGGTACGAGTATACTTTAGGTTATGAAAATCTAAAGTCGTTCTATATATATATATATATTTTACTTCACGTTTAAATATTTTATTTTAATATTAAAAATTTATATTTTATTTAGTTACGTCTCCTAAAATTTTAAAATAAACTAATTTAGTGTTTGATTTTATAAAAAATTGGGGGTATTCGTATGTCTTAATAACCCGATCAATTTGATCTATCTAATCCAACATTTACACAACCTCAAATCTTTTTTTTTTTTTTTTTTTTTTACGGTTTGGTAGTTGGACTTTTGAAAATTGAAAATTCAAGTTGATTCGTGGTTGATTTTTTTTTTTTTAGATCTACCCGACCAACCTGAAAACAAAGTTACGACTTAACAGAGTTATGAATGTTAAGAATCTTTAATATTTATAATCGATGTTAGTGATGATTGTAATTTGTGAATGTTTGATCTTTCGGTTACAATTGCATTATTTTATCTATATATATATTTATTTATTTATTTATGGTAAATAAAATACCAAATTTACTCTATTTTTTTTATTTTATAATTTAACCATTTAAATTGGAAAAAAAGAATGAAAACTTTAGAAGGAAATGTCTACCGTAAAAGCCACCGAAGGAAGATGTCTATGCAAAATATACAGGGACAAAGCGGTCATTTCGTTTTACAGTCGTCGGCTGATCTCTCTGTCAGTGGACTCTCATCCCGATACCGGACTTCTCTTCCGTTTTAGGGCTCGCTCCAAAATTTTTCCCTCCCCACATTATTCCCGGGAAAATACTGTGTGAATATGGACGGAGACATGAAAGTTTCTCTCGACAAGCTTCCCGTCAAGCGCTTGGAGGCCATAGAAGAAAATGGTCTCGAACGATTTCCATCGTATGTTCCTTCTTTATCTGGTTTTCCCCCATTTTTTGGATCCTGAGATGACAGAGGAAATGTTAATTAGTTCGTATGCATGTTAAGGTAGAAGAAGATATGTCTTAGTGGACGAATGCGTGCTTGTGCTTCGTTATTCTTCATTCTGGTTACGTTCGTGTTTGTACATTGGTATTGCTTAGAGTGAACTCTGACACAATTGATCTCATTATGCTAAATTGGCTGGAATCTAATCTTTAAATGTATTCTTCGGTTTTCGTGATGAAAGTTTCTGAGCAATTTATCGTTAATTTTTCATTAGTTGAGATTGATTTTTGCTATACCGTTAACAGAGATGTTGGTTATGAAGAGAAACGATTGTCGCTTATTCGGAGAATTGACTTTGCTTGGGCAATAGAGAAGGACGATGACAAAAAGAAGCAGAAGAAGACCTCCAAGGAGAGTGCAACACCGTGGCAATGGCAGAGCATGATAGAAAACTTGCAGTTGGCTCATCAAGAGCTCTCTGTTATCATAGACCTCATCAACACCGTGAGTTTTTATATCAAACGCCTCTAATTTGCTAGATTTTTTTAACCCTGTTTTTTTTTTTTTTTTTTTTTGGGTATAAATATTGGGGAAACGTGGCTTGTATTAGTTTCAATAAAGGTGCATGCAAAGGTTTCTTGTTAGAAAAAAGTGCCTGCAAATGTGGAGGCAAGTTGTCATAGATTTTACATTACATTTATGTCTTTGCATTTTATTTTTTGAAAGCGTGGCAGCAAAGTCCAAAGCTCAATAGTCCTCTGGAACTTAAGTGCAAGGCACATACTAGAAAAATGTCATTAACTTTTTTACACATGAAGTAAAATAGTATTATGAATATTAAGATGACAAAAAGTTGAAGAAGCTAGAGATTTTATTAGAGATTATGGAGAAAAAACAAACATTTTAAAAGAATATTGGGCTTCTGGTTCTGAGGTGCACACCACAAATGCTGAAGCGCGTATCTCAAGTGTACCGAGGAATCATAAACCTGCAAACTGATCCTTAGTTCTTATTAGCTTTATGGATATGCTTTATTTCCTTTCTCATTCTTTCTTGCAAGAATAGGTTGGGAGAACTGTTGTCTGTCAGTTTCACTAGGGAGGAGATAGGAGTTAACTGCTAACTATCAGGATCTTGAAATTGTGATTATTTTTCTCTGCTTGTAATTTTAGTTAAC